AGCATTATGCACAAGTTATTTAGCAGCAAGCTAATAGAGGCATGTTTTTTACTAGATTAATGCTTTATTTGGATGCAGTTGCAGTAAGCTGAGGTTATTTTATTGGCTGGCAGCATGGTGTGAGATATTGCTAAAAGTCAAAACTAATTATTTAAATTGCTAAAAGCTGAATTAATTAAACAAGTTTAAATTGGCATCTAACAAACATTAAGTAATAATTCAATCAAAGCTCTTTTAGATGGTTGTTCGTAAGATGTTTTCTGATCTAAGAATGGTTCTCTTATTGAACATTTCCTCTCTTTTAAATGAAAAACTAAAAAGTAAAAGAAGCTATTAAAGAACCGCTCAAGAAATTAAGGGAGAAGCAGGAATCCAAGAAGGAGGATAACAAAGATGAGGAAGAAAAAAAGAAAGCCAGGAAAGGAAAAGATGCAACTGATCGAAAGGACAAGAAAGCTGTTGATACGAATAAATTAAAGAAAGATTCTGACAAGGCTAAAAGGGACAGAGAAAAGGAAAAAAGCTTAGACAAAAATGTAAAATCCAAGGAGGCTACCAAAAAATCAGCCAGTGAAAAGGATGGTACTAATCAGGTGGGAAAAGAGAAAGAAACAAAAAAATTAGCTAAAAACCCATCCAAGGAAGACAAGAAAGAGAAGAACTAAACAGAGTATCAGTTCTGCTACTGAGGAACAGACCTGAAGAATGAGAAATTCAGCATATTTATATGAATGTGGTAAATATGGCAATAAGAACATAATATTTTCTGGAAATAAGTGTGAACAAAGGCTGTATGTAATATTTTTTTAAAAAAACTATTAAGTGTATTCTTGCATTGTAAACACAAAGCAAATAATGTCTTCTATGAATCTCAAATACGTACATATGTGAATATGCCTGCATAACAATGTGTATTGAAAACAATCAAATGTGAAATCAATGCAATTTACTTCAAACATACTCTGAATCTCTTGGGTTGTTTTGCCCTTTCATTGCTTCCGCATATTAAAATGCTATTTTCTTGATGTGGGGATAAAAATGTAATGTTGTATATCAAATGCAAGTTTAAAAGCAGCATTAAGAGGATTTTCTAGACACCTAAAATGGAAACTCAGAGGAAAATATATTTCTGTTTCATAAAAACAACCAAGAGAAGTATTAATGGAATGTATTGTCATAGGAACCTAGCAAATAAATGTAAATTATTCCTTGCTAAACTTTTTTTCCCCTAAGTAAGCTGAGAAAACTATTTTATACACACTCAAACCAACATAGTGTTGTGTTAATTTGAGACTTCAATTTCTACTCAAATCAAAACATCGCAGTACTTTTGCTTATTGATCCTGTGACAATTTGTTCTGCTTTGTTCCTTTATTTATTTATTTATTAGCTATCTTTAGGTCTGAAAAGTTGATTTATTGCCACTTTTCAGTTAACTGTGTCCTGATTTTTCTGAGTTTTTTAAGCTTCTAGTAATGAACATTTCTGAAAATTAGACCACCTATTTAACCATTGATGGATATTGTTGAGTTCCATTCACGTTGTAAGTGATGCACTGCTTACCACTCCTGTATTCTGGTTGATCTTGGTTAGAGAACAGCTTACGTATTTTTGCAACTACTATTTTCCTAAAACAACACTTTTGAAGTACATAATACTTCTGTAAGCAAGCTCCTGTGTTAGTTTGCTCTTACAGTTCCTGTATTTTTGGCACAAAGGAATGATTTATACAGCAGTCTCATTAAAATAAAGTTACAAAACATTTCTGCAGAGATATTTTAGTATGTTATTGAATCTATACTTGCTTTCATGTTTATATGGGAAAGGAATATATTCCAATTTTACTAGACAAATAATATCGCTTGGTATATTGAAATATTACTTGCACAGTAAAATTACACAAGATTCAGAAGGAAATTTGTAATTAAAATTAAAGATTTATTATTATGTTGCAGTATCATTTTAAAGAAAACAAAACTAAGGAGCGAAATTGAGCATGAGTATGTGTATGTGGGTGGTGGTGTAAGATTAGAGTCCTGATGGTTGATTCTGTTCCTGGTTTTGCTTAAATTTTGTCTATAGCAGTTGGCAATACACTTACCTCAGACTTCCAAAAAAAAACATACTTATATATGTGTGTAAGATGCTTTGATCCCTACAGATATAAAAAGGTTTTTTTAGAGGAAACTTACAAAAAATAGTTCAAATGAAAGCTGTAGAAAAATAGTGCTGTAGCTTAAGATTCTAGCTGTGATATTTAACAGATTGTATACTGAGCTATTTTCTAAATATTTATATATGTGTGAAGAAGGAATGAAAAGGTGTGTGTTATGAACATTTTTAATGCTTAGCAAAAAATGACAGAATGAAGATCTAATAAATGCACTTGCATAATGAGCATTCTTTTTTAGGTTTTGAAAATGATATATGTATTTATTAATCTTTGGTCGAATACATGCTAAGATAGATATTTAGCAGAAGAGCACTCAAATCACACTTGAGAGTCGTGGCACAGTGGTATAGTGCACATCACTTTTTATTTTCTCCCCTAATGGGACAGAAGTAACTGTCTAGGAGTGAAATTTGGAATGAGTTGCCTTTCTGATTAACATATTATTCTATCTGTGACCCAAAGTTTATCTGGTCCTAAAAAAAGTTTTGTTGTTTTTTTGGGGGTTTTTTTGGGTTTTTTTTCCCCCTGTGGTTGGTTGGGAATGTTTTTTCCCCCCTTTTTAATTTTGGATTCATTTTATTCAAGCAGCACACCAGGCTATATGAATAGCCACACAATAAAATGAGGTTTTTGCCCCAGAGATCTGGTGTGCATCTCCATGAAATAGTACTGTCATTAAACTTAACATAGCAGGTTACCACATAAGCTCAAAAAATGCACCACACAAGTAAAAACGGAGTGCAACTTTATTTTGATAAAAATATGAGAGAAAAGAGTATCTTGCAAAAGGTAAATGACATAATATATTACATACTTGACAGGGTTGAATAAGAATTGTTGATAAACACATCATAGGTGTGTATAAAAGCCTGAAAGCAAAGTTGAGAAATGTGCAAGCAAACAAAAAAAAAAATACTCTTTCTAGTCTCTTTCCTTTCACAACACTCTTAGTGCTTGTTGGCTGTGAAATATTATCTTTTGAAATACTTTGAATCAATTTATTCATGAAGCAAAGCAAGTGGTTGTCCAGAATTGGAGGTGCGGGTTATTAGATAATATGAGGACTTAGAGGTGTATATGTAAGAGAACTGTATTTTTGAAAGCAGCTGGCTGTTTCTATGCTTAGAGGCTCTAAAGTGTGAGGCAGTGGCTAATAAAAGTATCTAGGTTTGTCTCAATATGTGGTTAAAGATGATTGTAGAAGGAAGTAATTTCTTACTCTTGTAGCCATTAATATACTGCAGTAAAAGATTAATGAAAGTCTTCATAATATTTTTTAATGTTTCAGGGTATTTTTTAATGATGCAGAAGAAAATAGGCAAAAAAAATAGTCTAAATTTGAATGTGGTGCTCTCTTTTTTTCTTTTTCTTTTTTTTTTTTTTAAGCTTCTGATATTAATTCCATACTAGTGGACTCTTAGTTACAGTACTTCTAGATACACCCTAACTACTCATCTTGATGTAATTTAAATAATATAAAAAGGTGTAAGTAAAATTAATCCTGTTATTTCTCTTCCCATCATTCATATAGAACAGTAGAATAAATATGTTTTTCTCAGGATGCAGAAAATAATAAAATCTCTTTAGTTTACACAAAGTTGTTTTGAGGCATACTAGTCCTACTGATATTGAGATATGTTTGACTCTGGTAGAAATATGGCAATTAAAAAAAACCAACCAAACCCAAACCAAAAAACCTAACTTTACTGACTTGAAATATATTACTTGTTCTACTTAAAGTTACTTTTCCAAGATTGTTAGCAGTCCAGGAGTGTTCATTATAGTGTAACCTCTGCTTTCTTAAATATTATTTTTCTGTTGATTTCTTTACATACAGCTCTTGAGAAACTAGGTTGGGGCAGCATGTGTGTTTAAGAAAGTAGTTTTATCTTTATTGACATTAGAACTTATATTTAAATATGAACCTTGGAGAAATGGTTTATGATTATAAGAGAATTCCATTTGGAAGGGACTTAAGGAGATCCATATTCCAACATCCTGCTCAAAATGGGGTCATCTCAGACATATGACCAGCTTACTCTGGCCATTGTCCAGTGTGGCCTTTAAAACCTCCAAGGATGGGAATGCACAACCTTTCTTTGCTGTTTTTTTCCACTGATTTGACTGTCCTCATGAGGCAATGTGTGTGTCTAAGTTTGGGTTTGTTTTGGTTTTGAGTTTTTTTTCTTACTCCCAGTCTGAATCTCTGTTGTTTAAGTCTTGTTTGAGACCTTCCTGAAGAATAGTTGAGAGGAGGATTAGGCTAATACCAATACAGTCTTTCTTGAGGATGTGTCTTAAAATGTGGCATAATCTTTCAAGGCTATTAGTTATCTCTTACAAGGGTGCTGAACATTGGTGTTACTGATTGCTTTCTTTTCACTGTGTTTTGATCTAGAAAGACTGTGGTATGGAAGTAAGTATCTTAGTGGTAAAATGCCATCAGTCTCATTTTTTCTGTAGTAATTTAGTTGTCAAAAGAAATTGGAGATTGAGATAATCTTATTCAACTTTCTGTTCCAAGAGAAAACGGTGAGAAAAACCTGTTGCCTATTTTTCTTCCGGATACTGAATTGATATTGCGAATAGCATAGTCATTTGTTCAGTTACTTTGAAATAAAGGCAAGTGCTTAAATTTCTGTTCCTTTTTTCTCCTCATTATATGTTAGTCTTAAAAACATACTTGTTTATTATCTGAATACACTTTAATTTCTGAATATATCACTGTATATTAGCATCGGTTAATTTAATTGAAACAGCTTTCTTAGTTTATAATTGAATAAGATCACAAAGAGCATGAAGTTAACTTTATAACTGAAAAATGCAGGCCTTAAAGAAACATCTGTCCCAGCACAGCCAATATCACCAGCATCTGAGGAGACGATCCAGCCTGCTGAGAAATCATACGTTGACTCAGGTAAGGCCTTTTGTAAACTAAATTAATTCATTGTGTTATTTCCTTGGGTAGAAAAATAAATCTTTCATTGATCTTACATGTTGCTTATCTGCTTCAATTGATTTAATGGGAGTTACTGTTGTTAACTTTATATAAATCACTGACCTTGTAAAGCTTATCATTTAAATGTATAGAAGGCAGTCTTGTCAGCTCTCATGGTTATCACTGGAACCGAATCACATCAGAATATCTTTCTGCTGTTGTGGTTTTGATGTATATGCAACAGAATACCCAGTCAGAATAACAGCAAATTCTCCACCTCAAAAGACCCAAAACCAACCAACCAAACCTAAAACTAACAACCAACTTCATAAAATTAATCAAATACTCACTTTTCCACTAAAATCAGTAGTATATCATAAATACAGTAAATAAAAAAACCCAAACATTTAAACATTTTTAAAGTCCCGTAGTATTAGTAAAATTCATTAGGTATCAGAGGAATTAAAAAAAAAAAGTTTTTATATGTCAGATTTCATATATGTGATTTGCATTTTTGTGTTATTCAGGGACTACATATTTTCTCCTGTACCTTGAAAAGGCTAATCCTACTTGATGTTTATGTGAACCTAACACAACCCACAAATGTTGAGCATATGATCGATAAAATAGATTATAGAATTTATTTTTAAAAGACTTGCATTACTAAAGTTATAATTTATAAAATATAGAAAGTTAAAAATTTTCTTTCTTTCCACCCCGTAACTGGTACCATTTTGGATTGTTATTTGAAAAATGCAATTACGATTTGGTTTTGTGCTGTTGGGTTTCTCAGTGTTAATTTCAGGACGTTTGTATGAAGGCAACATTTCATACAAATTCCTGTTGTGTCCTGGGCTGGTGTGTTAGCTGGTAATAAGTTGTCCCTGAGATCAGTTTATGATTTAATCTGGTGTGACATGATACTGTAATGTTAGTATGTATTTTACCTGTTTATGAAGCCAACAAAATCCTACTTCTGCAAATGACATTTTGTTGACTAATGCGACATGGTAGTGCTGCTGCCTAAATTGTAGGAAAGTAATGGATGAAAGTGCTAGTAAAGTAATTGAAAAAGACTTCTCGGTTTGAATAGTTATCTGAAGATATTAATGTTACTGCCACAGAGAAAAATGTATGTGCAGAGAATGCAGTGTAGATAAATTCTTCTGATTTATCTTCAGAATGAATTTGGTGTGATTGATGCAATACTTCCCATACTGGAGAGTAAGCAAACCCAAATTGTTTTTGTAATGGTGTGTTGCAGAGGTTCGTCAAGTCTATCTCTGTAGAACTTTATTGAATGGAGTAAGAACTTTATGGAGGCTACTGAAAGCTGCAAGCCTTGACCTAATGTTTAGATTTTTGCCTTTTGCACTTACCTTCACTGCAATTTACAATCCTTTTAGAGCACAAGAATGCTGACATAGAATTGGAAGAAGAAATTCAGTCTGTTCTTCACGAAGCTCTCCATTCCCAGCCTGGTAATGCATTGATGCTTAGAAATCACTGAAGAATTTATAAATCCCACTATAGGCTAGACTCTAGAAACTCAGAGGCTGGTTTTGGTATGTACTTTAAATACTTTTGCCTCCACAAAACATTCTAATCAGCTAATTTGTTATTTTCAAGAAAATACAGGAAGTTCAGTCACCAAATCCTAAAACTGTGGCCTCTTCCCTAGGGGTGTTTGGCAGCATTAGCTCAAATCAGTGACTTGACAAAAACTTCCTCAAAATACTGGGTGGAGTGCAAGAGTAGGTAAACAGATGGCTTTTATTGTGGGTGAAGAAGACACTGCCAGGTCAGTGCAGATGCTTTGGGTTTATACTGCTGGAAGGTGCAGACAAGTCATCTGTCCCCATCCCCTTTGGGAACTAGTTGAAAAACATGAAGGGTGTGCTGGAGACTGAATGTTTGCTGGTAATAGAGTTTACCAGGGTACATATTCTCTAACAATCTGTATTATTGATTAGGAGAGAGACATGAAAATATAGATGAAAGTGTAAATGACCAATGGCAAGCGAAGGAAGAAATACGTGGAGAAACACTTGAAACTCCTACAACAGATGACTTGCTCACAGAATTAGAGAATGAAATGTCAGAAGCATATGAGACACCAGATTCAGTTCTGAAAGGTATGTGAATTACTAAATATAATGAAAATCAAATTTTGCTAAAAATAAGAAGAAATGGAAATGTCTCACTAAAAATTTGATTGATAATTTCTACTTGCAGTAGAGACTTAACAAATGTCAGCCACAGCAAGTATTACTTAGAAAAATATTTTTAAAATCAAAATGAGATATTTTAATATCTTGAGTTTTGGAATCCGGATAACTATATATTATTATTTCATTACTGCTATATTGGCCTTCAACCAAACAAATTCTCTTCCCAGTAAGAGAGACTTCTGTAATATCTGTATGGAGTCTGCTTCTGGACTTCCTAGTTTATCCAACTAAATTTTAAGAGTTTTTTAGCACAGGCTTTTATAGACACTTGGTCTCATTCTACTTCTGTCGTGGTTTAAGCCACTCTTATGTGGCTTTCTAAGAGAATGTTATGCATGAACTAAATTGTAAATCCTGCTGA